ACACAACCACAAAAAAAAAAACACACACACAAAAAAAAAGAACTGACCGCAAAACTGACCACACCTTTGTGTGTATTTTTGTGTTATTTTTTTGGTATGAATTGTGGTTCGGTTTTTTGGTTTTTTTTGTGGTATGACTTGTGTTTTTTTTTGTGTGTGTGTTTTGTGGTATGACTTGTGTTTTTTTGTGTTTTTTTTGTTTTTGTGGTATGACTTGTGGTTGTGGTTGTGTTGTTTTTGTGTTATGACTTGTGGTTTTTTTTGTGCTTGTTTTGTGGTATGACTTGAAGCTTGTGGTTCTTTTTTGTACTTTTTTTGTGGTATGACTTGTGGTGTTTTTTGTGGTATGACTTGTGGTTTTTTTTGTGGTATGACTTGTGTTTTTTGAATACACTGGGGTGCCGAAAGTTGCGCTTCTTGACTTCTACAAACCCTTTCCCCTTAGAATCCTACGTGCAACATGTCGACACGTAAGTTGCGGTCAGATTTCCACACCTGAAAGCCTTATAAGTATTATAGATTTAAACGGGTGTGGAAATCTGACCGTGCTGTACCTGCCAGACAAAATGGACGTGTCAATCCGATCCGCTGTAGACCGCAAGTGTCAAGAGTAAGAAGCGCAAACTTTAGGGTTCTTGAAGTATAGAATCAAAGGCGAGTGGCAGGAGACAAGGCCATGTGCATTGATATTGTGACTTTTGTGGTATGATTTGTGGTCGCGTTTGCGGTTTTTTGTGGTCTGACTTGTGGTTTTGTTTGTGTTTTTTTTGTAGTATGACTTGTGTTTTTTTTGTGGTGTGACTTGTGGTTTTTTGTTTTTTTGTGGTATGACTTGTGGTCTTTCTTGTGCTTTTTTTGTGGTATGATTTGTGGCTTCTTTTGTGTCTTTTTTGTGGTATGATTTGTGGTCCAGGACGGAAGACGACCACAAATCAAACCACAAATAAAGCACAAAAAAAACACATGAATTTGGACAATTTTTTTGAAGATTTGGGGTGGGGAGCCAGGAGCGACAGGGTGGGCAGCCGGGAGCAACGGGGTGGGGAGCCAGAGCCAATTTGGACTTGGCTCATCCTGCTGTGAGAGCATGCGCAAATGATTAATCTTGTGGTAAGCAGTACGGTCAATCATTCTTTGAGTTGCCACTTGAGGTTGACCAATTAGTGAAGGGATGATGTTGGTTTCTTTTGATTTGCAAATATGTTCAGATTTGTGTTCTTTAGAGTTAGCCCGCCCACTGAACCAATCATTTTGCATTTCCTAGACCAGAACCCGCCCACTGATCCAATCTTTTGCATTTCCTAGACCAGAAATTGCAATCCAATCTCCCTAAATGACTTTGAATATGATTGTGGTTTTTTGGGGGTATGGTTTAAGGGCCCTGACCCTTTACGGCTGTTTCTGTGGGGGGGGCAGGGCCCAAAATTGCGCAACTAGGGAGCCTAGTTGGGCAGCCCTTTGATGGGGAACTCGCGTGTCTTTGAGGAAGCTGACCCAGCTACCAGTCCAAGATAGGAAGATATTCAAAAAAAGGTACCTAGCACAATGGGTGCCCTGTCGACCTGTTTACGGCAGTCTAGCCAGGACGGTACCTATCGTCTGCTAAGACGTAAAGGTCCTGCGGAGTCACGTCGCCCACCTGGCGAGCTCGCCACTCGCGCCGCTCGCAGCTCCACCTGGCGAGTTGATGTAGATGGTGATGTCCTTCTTCGCATCCTCCGTTCGGTGCGTCGGTCGAGTCGACCGGATGGTCGAGTCCCAGTCCGAGCTTCCGGGAGAGAACACCACGTCTCGCGGGGACGGTGTTAAACGTCACAGCTGGTCTCCAGGCCGATCGGCCAGGCTGTCCTGGTTCGCCAGGAACAAGATCTGCGCCACAAGTACATTGGCCATCTCATCATTCACCTGGGCCAAGAAGTGGGTTTGGAAGTCATTCTATGATATTCGTCACATGCAGGACAGCAAGCTCCCCCACATGCCTTGCCTAACCACGCAGCGGGTCGCAAGATCTTTCTCTTTGCTTGCCTGACCCTGCCTCAAACCGATTAATTAGGGGGCATCTTTTTTGAAGTGCATGACTTAAGTGAACAAGGCACCCCCGCAGCACCAGCATGATGAATGCTTGAAGATCTTTAAGTCAACTCACCTTCCAACCAACCCTAGCCTCTCTTCCTGGGCCGCGCCTGGCCGTTCAACATGAGCACCCGATCCTGCAAGAGCTTCGACATCACGTCGATGGCACCCGAGCCCGTGGAGATCATCGGCATGCGCACCTGGCGGGGCGAAGACCCGACGAGCGGCTTTGGAGAAGAACACCACGCAACGGCCTCCAACCAACGGCCTCGATCAACAAATGGATTTATCAATATTTATCCACATGTTATCACAACTTACCGATATACCACACTTTACCACACACCTACGCGACACCATCACTACACCATATCATACCTATCTATGTCCACCGGGTCCCCATAGGTCGACTAGTCTAATTGTCCAGAAAGTCGAACTGCGAGGATCTCCCTGCCAACCCTTTCTCCCTATTCTTTCCCTTCAAGAATCATATGACACATGTGGCATCCTCCTTTGGAGAAGGGGTGAGAGTACACCTCCTGGCAGGAACCAAACCCCCAAATCCATGTCAAGCTGGGGGAGATCCACAAAAACCCAACACCTGCCAGTGAAAATCCATCCTCCAATCCAACCACACTCCTCCACTGAGCCCCCGTGCGGGTGGGATCTGCCCTGGCGCCGGCTCCGCGCAGCGCGCCGTGCGGACGCCGCCGCCGGCTCCGCGGCCGGCTCCGCGGCGGAAGGCGCCCGGAACGGCACACCTCGGTCGAGTGTTTGGTGCACTCCGCTCGACCAATGGCAGTGGAAAGCAATGGCCTCCAACCTACTAGCGATGGCCTCGAACCTAATTGTAATGGCCTCAGAGCTAATGGTAGACTGACGCTGGAAGATCATTTAGAGGAACGATTCGACCATTCGACCATTCTCCACGGGCCCATCAGGGGGCTGCCAGCCAGAAAAAAGCGTGACGTGTGCATCGGAGATAGGTCCAAAAAATGGCATCATATCTTTGTCAAAAACTATCGGCTATAGGTGTCTGATGTTTTGGACTGAGCATCCCAAGTTCACGGTTTGGCTCTTTATCATGGGGCGACAGAGAAAATGTCTACCACAAGCGGCACCTCCAAAAAGTACACCTCAGCGGTTCTGCTGATCAGGGTCGAGGAAACCAATCAAGAATCCCAAAACATCATCTCTACTGACTCCTGAGAAACATCATGCAAGAATCCCAGTCGTCCCCTGATCAGTCAAATCATGCCCAAACCCCAAACCGTTAAGCCCACCACAGGTTCCCACCTCTTCCCACCCCTCTCCGCCCAAGGTGCGCAGAGAGCACCACGGCGCCCAGCCCCCACGCCGTCGTGGCATCCCACGTCGGTCGGCCATCCGCGGGACGGCCCACGGCGGCCCGCGGCGCGGCGCGCGGGGGCGCGGAGACGCCCAAGGAGAGGAAGCCCAGGCCTCGTCGAAGGTGGCCGGCCAACCCTTCGGTTGGGAAGGGTAGCAGTGAAAGGGTCAACTGAGAAAAGGGTATATAATTAGGCAATCTCAGGCGAAGAGTTCAGAAAGGATTTCAAGTGATGTGTTCTTTTCGAGGAGATTTGGCTTTCGTCCTCGGGATTTGGCTTGGCAGCCCGTTTTCGGGCTCATCACGCTAGATGATTCTCCGGCCTCCGGGAGTCGTCAACTCCGATGCGAACTTCTCTGTTCCAAGGTGTTCTTCCAATGTTCTTCATTGCCCTTGATTTCGTGGCGCAAAGATGTGCAAAGGAATTCGGTGAAAGGCTGCATCAAAGGGTATTTGATGGTATTTGTTTGGACATGTTTGGACCCTGCCGTGCCATGCCTCACTCGTGGGGAAAGGAGGGGGACGGTCGCCTGGTCCGAGGCCATCACCCAGGCGGGTTCTCTCGCCTGCATGAAGCATCGCTAGGGCCAGCAAGAAGGCCAAGGCCTCGTTTCCATCAGACGCGCTGGGAATCCGAACTGAACGTGGAATTCGGATCCCGACTTCCCCCAAGTCCCCAACGAATTCTAGAGCTTTATGCCTTCCTTTGTACCTCCGCTGGCTAGCTCCACCGGTTCCTCAAAGAGGTCTCCGCGGAGCTCCCCGCGCAGCTCCCTGCGTAGCTGCGCAGCTAGCTCTGACCAAGCGACGACCCTCCAACTGACTGACGCTGGAAGCAGCCCGCCCTTCCAAGCCCTGCCTGGACTGCCCGGACCGCTCCCATCGCGTTCGCCCCTACCTCCGATCCCCAAAACCGCCGCTTCGTGACGCCGAAGCCACGCGCTGGAGCCGAAGGTCGGTCGGGCGGACCGTCAGACCGGGAGTCCCCTGGACCACCAGTAGCTGGGACCATCCCGGGGAGGAACCTTTAGAGAACCTTTGTAGGACATCCCGGAGAGCACCGGTCAACATCCAGGACATCGTGCACGACAAAGGCTGAAGGGTCCAACGGAAGGCGACCGGGCACCGGCACCGGGCACCTTGGCAAATCAATCGGCCAAAGTGACGGGCGACTCGTTTCAAGCGACGGGCGGTGACCTGTTGCAGGATGGCTGCTCCGCAAATGATGCGAAGGGGTCACTTGCCGGGCATTCTATATACGAGAAATGGTGATGTCTATCAAAGAAATGACTGGCATTTTATAGAGCATCGTTCACGGGGCACAGCTTCGCAACGTTTCTGTAGATGATTCCTTCGGACACCTGTATCTCCGGCTATGCGTGGAAGATGGATGATCCAACCAGTTGCATCCCCCAAGATGGTTAACTTAAAAAAGAACTCTCTCTCCACATGTGCAAATGTCACATAACCCCTTCCAACCAAATAGTCACATGACTCCCTCACCCTCCGAAACCTCGGCCACTCGGCCGCCTCTCGCCACCCCTCGGCCGCCTTTCACCCCTCCGCGCCCCGGGAGCACCATGTGGAGCTCAGCGACCTGCCGGGCGCGCTTCACGGAACGCCGCGCTTCACGCGACGCGTGGGGCGGCTCGGGTAGTGGTCGGCGACTGGTCGGAGCATGTCCGCAGCGTGCCGTTCGTAAGGCCAGGAGCGCCCCCTAGAGGAGCTTCTTGTTCCGTTCGGAGTTCGTAGCCCTTGTTACTACCCCCCATCTATGGTGAGGGCATCCTGAATGACAAGTAGAGGACGAGCCAGCTGAACGAAGGGGGCTTGCCGTGGAGAAGGACATGTTGGAAGACCACCTTACGCTTTTGTCTCACCACTCACTTGCCAAGATGGAAGAAAACGGTCTGCCGTGTCCAATTTCAAAAAGAAAGCACAACTGCCATCGGTATATAAACAGTTCCCCCCCATCCGGTCCTCTCATCTCGCTCGCATGCCACGCTCGCCTTGGATGGCAAACGGTACCCAGGTCTACTGGGCATGAAATCCAAGCTGGACATGAAATGGCATGATTGGCATGATGCGAGCGTTTTGACGGCCTTTCAGCTTGAGGCAGTGCAGCTTCCAGAAAGCCCCAACAGTCAACATGATGTCAACCAGAAATTGAACTATCAAAGGGTGCCTGCTGTGATCATTTCCTCTTTCTTGGAACACTTGGTTTCACCAACTCAACGGGGCGGGCACCACGCGTCGCCGCGCCGACGCCTGCAGCTCCACGCGTTCCACCGAGCGGAGGCGCCTCGGTGAGGCGGGCTGCGAAGCGCCTGCCCCGTGGTGGTTTCCGGGAAGTTTCTCCAGCTGCTTGGATTTCGATGGTGGTGAGAAAGCGATGGTTGATGTCATTTGATTCCGATGGTTGTGATGATTTGTGGTGAGAAAGCGGGCGGGGACGGTCGGAGACGTGGGACGCTCCGGTGCACCTTCGAACGGCGCCGGTTTCGCGTCATCGCGGGACGCTGCAGCGGTTGGTTGAAACGGGCCAGGGGTCTAGTGGAACAGGTGTGCAGCGGTGGATTAGCTTTTAATAGGATAGGGGATACCTTTTAGACACTGGGTTTGGATCTATTTTCCCTTGGGGTCTCCCTATACTACACCATACACACCCTTGGCTGCCTTGCTCTTGTAATACCCAAACCCACCCTGGGACCGCCTTTCAAACGATCGGTGCGAAGTCCGCCCGGATGCGCGGCAGATTTGGGTTGTACGTTGGGTTTTAGATGTTTTGAAGGGGGATTCCGGGTGTGAACGCCAGCTGCAGCAGATTGGCAGGTCTTCGAACATTTCGAGGGCGGACCTAAGGATTACCCATTCAGTACCCCTTGCAGGCTGGTAGATGATCATAAGTTCTGATATTCTGAGGACCCCCCCCTACAACAGCATCTCCAGAACCTCTCCGAGACCTGAGTGCCCCACAGCAGGGAAGGAGGCAGCTGAAGGGCGTTGTCCTACCCACGCACCGAAATCCTTTCCGAAGACCTTGAGCCTCCTTCCGAGACTTGACTTCATAAACCCCTCGTGAGCATACTCCCCAAAACAGTAGTGACCCAAAACCACCATGCTATGAGCCTCCCTCCATCCACTACCCCCCCACACTTAACAACTCTACGCCGCTACGCCCGTCTCGCTCCACTCCTCCAGACAATCACCCTCCAGGTGGACGCTCTCCAAGAGCACCACCGCTTCAACAGGGCAAAAGGGGATCCAGCAGCGGTACCTCCGCGATCCACTTGTTCCGTGCCACGGTGCATTTTGGGGCACCAACAGTCGATGCAGTCGGACAAGTCGGCCGTTCAGCACACAGAGATTTCACAGACATTCACCGCCAGGGCCGCCACCACAGGGCCGCGACAGCAACATGTTTCACGACTTTGTCTTTGATTGGTGATTAGTCATCCGACTGGATGTTCCATGAGATATCCTTTCTAGCAGTGCGTGGCAATCGGGCTTGAGAAAAAGCGCAACTCATTCAATGGAAAATGGAATGTGAGTCAAAACCGGGACACCCAAAAACTACAGAGAGTCAACATCCCGAGGTTGTTGTTCTGACATTTATCCGTCAGGTTCATCCAGGACATTTGGAGGGCAAACCCCCCACTTGCCCGTTACCCACGGCCAAATGACTGAAGGCCATTGCCAATGACTGTGCTCCACCTAAGACCCCCTATCCTCTGCCGAAGTGCTTCAAAACCCAACCCCTCCCACCGTCGCGGCTCGCCCGCGCCCGCGCGACCCGCGGGCCGCGGCCGGCACCTGACGGCGCGGGCCGCGGAGCCACCCGGACCTTGAGGCCAGGAGGCCTCGGAGCGCAGACCGTTCCTCTGCCCCGATGGCATGGGAACGCCGTAGTAGCCATGCATTTCTTCCACCGGGCGGCGCACCTACCAATTCACCCAAATGGACCCGTCAGTTCCTGCCATGATGAACCCCGACCGAGTCTTCCGAGTCATGGTGAGTCTTCCAGGCGTCGCCCGAGTCAGACCTCCACCGATCTCCTGCCTGCACTCGCACGCGCGAGAAGAAGCCGGCCAGCCTGCGCGGTACTTCTCACCGGTCGATGGGTCCCGGTGGATTCTGGTAGGCCAGAGGTAGGCCAGACCACAAGGGAAAATGGCTCCAAAATGGTGTTAAAGAAGTACTTGATCCATCCCCCTTAACACCAAACATGTGCCTGTCCACCCGGTGGACACACTGCGCCACCCGGCACCAGCAACAGCTCGATGAAAGCAGGTTGGTTACACCCGCAGGACACAACCTGTTCTATCTTGAATGTGTCCCACATTGGCTTGTGATGCTTGGCCAACACCACATCTTGTCGTGAAGCTCTGAGATCACAGCTGTAGTATAGTCTAAACGCTGAAGAAATGGCCTCAAACGATTGCATTGGTCGCCCGGTCGCCTTGCTTCAGAGAAAATCAACTCATACCATGATCACCTAATGGACACCTTGCAACCATGCCCCACTTACCAACCCCTGTCCACCCCTAGAATGACCTCAGCCGCCATTCTCAGCGCCGCTCCTTGGAGCCTTTTTGCGGAGAAACCTCTTCCGTTGGCTGGCACAAGAGTTCTTTTCGCGGCGACGAAAGAGGCCCCCAGCACGTCACGTGGCGAGATGGCGAGTTTGCCGCGTTTGCCGCGCCGAGAGAGGATCCGACGCCGCTCCACTTCTTCATAGCTTATATTGGTAAACGATGGTGGTGCAGCCATAGGTGGCATGATGCGGAAGAGCCACTCTTTCAGCAAGGATCTGAACAGGTCCCAGTGGTGGTTTGAGCTACAAGTTCGTGGTTGGACAAACCGGGACGACAGGTTACTGCAAAGTTTGGGGTCTATCAAACCGGGCCACAAAACGCCAACTGTGAAAGGCGAGCCTGTGTGGGGTTGGAAGGTGGGGAGATGGCCACGGAGTGGATGCCAGGTCTGGAAGTGGGGTTGCAAACTGTCATTAAGAAGGCAGGCCCATCCACTGTTCAGAGAGTGAACTGTCCTTTATCATCCTTTCTGGGTCGATGGGTCTTCCAGTGGCGATCTCGGATGTCTTTCGAGCAACTGCCACCTATGATCCGGAGACTGCAGATGTGCTGCCGAGTCTCGGCCATGCACCTGACCTCATATCATATCCTATCTGCCGGCGATCCATTTTGGATTGAGACATCTGGAATTTGCTGCGGGGAAGGGCCACATATGGCTCAAAGACACCAGGGCAATCCACAAGAAGGGTGCAAACAAGACAACACACAGACTCCTTTTTTGGGGCCACCCACTTTGGCCATCTCCCAATTTCTAACCATGTCCCTTCTTTGAAGGCCCGGACGTTCCCGGAACGCCCCCGGAACACCCGCCCTGGAACACCCGGAAGGCCCCCGGAATTATTGCTGCACGTAGTACTGGGGCTGGCCAGTCACCTTAGGAACGAGCAGGGTTCTGCTCGACAGGTCTTCAGCCCCTGACCGCTGAGACTCGACATGTCACGACCAGTCGACATGTTCAGCATGCCCCTCCTGTAGACCCCGGAATCTGGTCTTCCAAAAAAGGGCTGGGGGAGCATGCCCCAGCCCTTAACATGGGACAACACTCGATGTCTAGAGCAAAGCAGTCCGAGAAGCGTTCAGCTTCGATGTTCGGAGAAAGGGAGGGAGGCAAATATCTAATCCAGGTCTAACTTGCAGTAATCGTAAAGCGCTAATGCTCACCGCGAAGAGCCTGAAGACCAGCTCCACGGAGCAACCCTCCGACCGATCCCGGGTCGCGTGATGGTGAGTTCGCTGCGCGAAACCGAAACCGATTCCGGTAGACTCTGGATGCATCAAACCCTCCCATTGGGGGGGGGGATTGATGAGAAGGATGAATTATATTGAATTATCTAGTACTATGATGTCCTATGATGGTACCAGTGTTTGTGGGCACTGGGGAACTGTAGTGGTTGATGAGGTCTGATGTGGTGCGAACCATCTGATGCGCCTGATACGTCTGGAGTGCGGCAACTGGTGTGAACTCACCCGTTGAACTCGAAGGCGGTTCACGGCCCGTGAGGCCCTCACGACTGGTGGGCGACACACCGAACATCTGGACGCCCAACTTGGGTATGAAGAAAAGAAATGCTCACTTCCTCGAACATCGAGCCACCCTCACCTGACAGGTGGGAACCTGTGACCCAGGGTGGCGGATGGCACGCATCCCACCGAGTCACAGGGACCTGGCCATAGCTGGCCATGGGGCTGCCACCCTCGGCGAACCACACAGCTGCAGGGTGGCAAAACCTCTAGCGCCTCTAGTAGCTTCTTGGTACGGCCAGGAGCCCCTAGTAGCGTCCTTGCTCCTAGTAGCGAGGCGATGCCCTTTGCTCCTAGTAGCTTCTTGTTGCTAGTAGCGATGCCACTGCTTCAACGCAACCGCCAAAACCTGGTGGATAGGCTTAGAACCGCTACGAACACATCCATATTCGGCGTGCCAATTGGTGAACAATCCAGTTCAGTCTCTATCATGTTTGGTCCTTCTTTCTCAACATGCCCTTGTCAGGAATGTCCGACGCTAAATCAGGGGTCTCGTTTTCTCCATGCACCCAAAAATAACCTTTTGGACCACCGTACGATGTGCGCCAAGCATCTCCAACAGTCACGGGAGGCATCACATAGCCCAGCGGGCTTCCAGCCTGCGGCACCTTCGCAGGACTGAGGATCCAGGATCCGGAACGGGAAAAAAAAAACCGGAGGAACCTGCATTCAGTCATTCCAAGAGAGGCTGAACAGCCCTATAGCGCATCCCATAGGTACCACTATCCTATATGGTCTCTCAGCCTCTCTTAATGTGTTTGGATGTCTGAAAGGGTGTGTGAAATCCGCACAGGCGGACCGTTTTCGTTGGGGAACCTGCAGGAGCTCATCTAAGTACGACCTCCAAATCGAAAAGTAGATGCCCACTCCAAAATGTCTTTTCACACCGTGCCACGATCTATTTGGAGAAACAACGATGGCACCCAAGGCGGGCCAAACGAATCGCCGCATCGCCCCGATCCTCAACGCCTGCGCCTGGTAGGATCCGGACATCAGGACCGGAGGCAGCTGCTGGCTGTACACGCCCGGCATGGCACCTGAGACGGTCTCATGGCCGCACGACGGGGAGAAAAAGGCGGAGCCAAACTCCCCAAAAAAGGTGTGTCGTCTAGGGCCTACACACACAGATCTATCTCCTCGCCCTTCTGCCATGATCATCCGGGCCGATCATCGGTTTCTCTTTTTTGCTCTTGACTTGCAGATCCTCCGGTCCACATCCCAACCAAATGCGCCCCAGTCCGGTCCTTCCTCCCACCCGACCCGGGACGATCGGAACGCCGCCGAACTCGGTGCCGTCCAGGTGCTCCCGGCGGGGACCCGGCTCTGGCTCTGCAGCTGCTTCTTCCGCGTTTCGCCTCACGAATTGGAAATTCAGAGGTGGGGGTGGTGGATGGCGGTGGTGGGGGCAGAGGTGGGTTCGGGTTGAAGACACTGGGACTGACTCCAACTGCTGGCTGAAGGGGGGCAAAAGGAACTGCTCCGGGACTTCCTCATTTGAAAGGACAGGTCAGAGAAGAAAGGCATCTCCACACTCGAGAGCATCCGGTGGTCGGGTAGGTACTTTGGGCTTTGGGTGCCCAATGGAGGCCTATAAGTAGGGTAGGTTAATCTATTGACCTATTGGATGATCCTGGTGATTGTGTACAATCGTGTATGTGAGTATGGTCCTTCAATGTCCTTCATGCAATGTCACAATGAGACCATTGATCCATACACACAGAGCGCGTCTTTCAGGGCTTGACTTTTTCGATCCGCTGCAGGTGTGACCTTTCCTACTTCTAGGTTCTTTTGGGCCTTTGGTCGTTTCAATCTTCTCCATCATCGCCATGTGCCAGTGTGTGATGCTTCAAGTCAAAGCATCCCGCTTCACTAAAACCAGACGGTTCTTGCGACACACACCGACACAACTCCCGGCCGTGGAAAGTGGAGGGGGATGTTCATCCCGTTCATCCGCCCCCTCATCCAAGCAACTCGCTTCCCATCCCTGCGCTGACATTGAGATCTTCTTTTTGTTCAGCTCCTTCTCTTTCTCTTTCTGGCGCGAGGAGAAGAAGAAACGGTCTCACTGGCTCTCTCTCTCTCTCTCTCCGGTACCGGGGGGGCCCTCGGCATTGACCGAACCACGCTGATGGATGGGCATGGAAAGAGGTGGGGTGCCCCACCTCTTAAGAGGACGATGGTCACGGTGACGCCTCGAATCTTGGATGCTTTGGACTCTCCTGGTTGGTGACGACTGGGCGGCCCAGTACGGAAAGACTGGACCAGTACGGACCGTACGAGTTGAGGTCCCATGTTGAGGTCCAGGGACGACCAACCACCACCCGCGCTGGTAGAACTTCCGACCACCACCGGACCCACCAAGGACCCACCCCAGAAGCGGGCGGCAAGTGTATCTTGAAACCAGACGAGGGGGGGCACCCCGGCACCCCGAACCAAGAAGCATCCCTACCAGGATCTTCTAAGAGGTGTCAATAGCCTCTTGAAGGTTTGAGGGGTGCTCAAGGAAGGTCCCCCTGGTTGGAACTGCTCCGGCTCTCTTCCCACCCCAGTGGCTTTTTGTCCAAAGCCCCACGACTGCCAACGTTAACACGCCGCAGCAGGGAGTTCGAGCCACTATGGGATCCCAAAAATGAAGAGCACCCCCAAAAGAAGACCTCCGGATGAAAATGGTATCGGCGTCGGCTGAAAGGGAAAAGGAGTCGAGGCCATGCCATAGTAGGCCAATCAGGCCATATCAGGCCCCATGGTTGCTTTAAGAAGCAACCCCCACCCGCCGCACCGGCATGCCTTCGTGTAGTTGCTGCCTTTGGAGACACGGTGTCTCCGAACAACCCGAACAACCCACCGGTCGGGCCATGCCGTGCGGAAACAAGACGTCCAGAATTGAAACAAGTGGTGGGAGACAACATTCTCAAGAGTTATCTTTGATTCACCATTTGTAGTAAAGTCCATGCATCTCTGGGTCCATTGGTAGTAG